TTCTATTCTATTCTATTCTATTCTATTCTATTCTATTCTATTCTATTCTATTCTATTCCATTCTATTCTACGGTTCTCCAGCTTACCTGCTTGACCGGCCAGGCCCGGATCGCCCATCGGCCCCGGCAAGCCCGAGGCGCCGGGTTCGCCCGATTGTCCCTGCCAACCCTTGCGTCCAGGCGGGCCCGACCGACCCGGTTGGCCTCGGTCGCCCTTGGCGCCGGGGCGGCCGTGAATAGGCAGAAAGCCGTCTTGGCCGGACGCTCCTTGGTCGCCCTTGTAGCCTCGAGGGCCGCTGGGTCCCGGAAGCCCTTTCGGCCCGACGTCTCCGACAGCACCTTTGGGACCGGTCGTGAAGCAGATGCCAATCTGGCCTTTTAGCCCTTTGGGCCCGGGGAAACCTGTGCACAAAGGGAAAATCATTTTACACATGCATTCAACGTTAGATCACACCAAACGAAGATTTGCATCAACACACAAATGTGTGCTGTTATGACCAATTGGGCCGGCTTCGAGACATGTCATGCTTGTTTGATGCTTTATAAGGCACACTACTCATTACATATTCAGTAGTAAGTTCTATTGTAACGGCAAATGAAAGTTTGCTCTAGAATGACGCCCTTATGAAAAAAAATGAATTGAGAGAGATCAGAATATGTGTGAAAGTCGCACTTCGTGTTGTGTGGCACGAGACCCGGTTTGATGAGATTGCCTTTTAATCTGGAAGAGAAATCATATCTTGCGGGAAGGCACATAGAGTTTTAAAGGTATAGAGAGGCCTTCTACAATTTTTCTTGTCGGCGACTCGATATTACTTTTACTGACCTCGGCTGACAAATTCTCATACTACTGATAATGAATATAAATAGTATAGTCAATTTAAAGTTCCCTTAGATATAAATTTATCTCCTTAACTATCCAACTGGTACTTTCGGCAATGTGGTAGAACGTCAACAATGAACCCTGAACTAGCCGAGTTCGAGTCCCGTTGGGGGTGGTAGTAAGACGAAATTGTAGTCCGGCCCAGCAGAGATGGGAATTCTGTTTTAGGTGGCAAGGCTACGTGAACTTCACCTACCAGCCAACCTCAACTTTCATTCACTCAACTTCAAAAATGCTCTCTCTGTCAAATACGTCTGCTCGAAATGTTTTACACCAGGAAAGCGGTTAAACGTGTCACTGAATTGGGCGAAAAAAAACAGATTTTGTCCTGCTTCACGCATGCAGAAAAGCCATGACCATTGGGTTGTCTAAGTTTCCCACTTGCGTTGAATTGTATAATTGTTTCGTTGCGAGCAAGAAGATGCTGTTCCTGGGTCGAGGTGAGACCTTGAAATGCCTGTAAGTCTGTACCTTTTTTTAATTCATTCGAGCATTTCACGGCAAAATGTTGATGAGTAACGTTGTTACAAAAATCGGGCCTCTGACATATCACCGCCTCAAAGTCTCGCCACTAAAGAGGAAAAGGGCTCATTTTTCCGTAATTACTTGATATCATGCCGAGTACAATTTTTTGTTATTAAGTAGGTTTTCGAGATTACCACTAAATCAGAACTATGAACTACATTCACCAAAACTGTTAGTCTCCAAAAACTACTGACTGACGAAAAAATGTACTCTGCATCAATACACGATGATACTTGTCATGGCTGTCAGTTGCATTAATTTTGGAGACAATATGTGCTACTTATAGACATACAAGTAGTGGAGATAAAGCAGAAGCAACGGTTTCCAAATTATTTTTGAGTCTTCCATCACCAGCATATAATAGACATTTTGCTAGTACAGATGCCACACAACTGAGAATATTTCTATTCAAGACTAGTCAGAGACCCGTTTTAGTACTTCTTAATTTGTTCTTATAAAATCGAAAAATGAGAGGAAAATAACACTCACAAATTACCCTTAATGCACGATTTATTGTGGCCTTAGGAGCATTATTTTTCAGATAGACGTTGAATGTTACCAGTTATGGTAAACCTAACTCATAAATCTGAACTACTGGTAGACTCCAAAGCCTACTCAAAACGAAATATAAGTAATATCGTCGATTCCAACAGCAACTATAAGTTTGTCTTATCGACACTTCCACCACAGAATGCGATATGGTAAAATGTCTGGCCTTCCTCG